AATTCCAATTAAGCTATGGAAGCCCACTGGGTAATCTTGGGCAAATAGAGGAAAGCAAAGGCAAACCACCCTCTGAACAAATCTTGGCAAGAAAGCCCATGTTAAGATGTCTTTAGGTAAACTTAAGTTAGAAACAACTTGAAGTATTACATGTTATGATGCTGAAACGTGCTTCAAAATGTCGGTAATTTTTGCTAAAAATGAAGAAATGTTATATAGGTGTTGTGCAACTTAACATTTAAACAAATAATAATTGGAATATTACAACTGCAATGTAATGTAGCTATTATTGTCAGTAGCTCCTACAGATAATTCTACACACAGGTATATTTAACAAAGTAAATGTGTTGCTGGGCTTTACTTTCACAAAAACTTTGGCACCAGAAGTAGAAACATAGAAGAAATGGGGACAGGTTTGTAGAACACACACGAAGGACAACAGTTCTACATGTTTCAGGAATGTTTTAATTCAAAATTGACATGCACGTATGAAACGAAACAGCCAGGTCAGGTAAAGCTAGAATATGTAAGCGTAAACATTATGGGCCTTGAAAGTTTCTTCCAAAATGCATTCCAGGATAATTTTTTGTTTCATAGCTTACACTTTGCTTTTGGTTTCCATTTTGGTAGTGAACCTTTGAGAAATCCACACTTTTAAAAATATGCCTGGGTAGCCGGTGAGGTAGGCCCATCTGCTTCTCTAGTCCTACGTACACTGCCATATAATGCATTTTCAGAATGCAGTTTAACTACATTGAACTGCATTATACGGCGATGCAGACTCATATAATCCAGTTCAATGCAGTTAAACTGCATTCTGGAACTGCCTTATATGACAGTGTGGGTGGGGCTTCTGTTTTACTCCTCATACACACTCAGTGATTCTGGAGGAGTAAGTGCACATAACTGTGGGAGGATCACCTAGAGTGGAACCCATTCTTTCCTAGGTCAAGCTTTAACATATTTTACCCAACACTGACAAGGTTTTTTTCCAATCCTCCTTTATCAAAGTCCATACTACATCCCCTGCCCCTCAAGTTAGAAAGAAGACTGCATAAAAGAGTTATTTGTCAGGGGCTCGTTAACTTGGCATGCCTGTGATGTAAAATTAAAAGTATTTAATTTTTTTTAAATTAAAAATTTATTTTAAAGAGAATAACCATTTCAATGGCATTCAAACATAAACCGAACCAATATAATTATTACACAACTAGCTGTCCCCTGCCACACGTTGCTGCGGCCCACATGGGGTTCTGTGTGGGAGGTTTGGCCCAATTCTATTGTTGGTGGGGTTCAGAATGCTCTGAGATTGTAGGTGAATTATAAATCTCAGCAACTACAACTTCCAAATGTCAAGATTCTATTTTCCCCAAACTCCACCAGTGTTCACATTTGGGCATATTGAGTCTTCGTGTAGAGTTTGGTCCAGAGCCATCATTGTTTGAGTCCACAGTGATCTCTGGATGTAGCTGAACTACAACTCCAAAACCAAAGGACACTGCCCACTAAACCCTTCCAGTATTTTCTGTTGGTCATGCGAGAACTGTGTGCCAAGTTTGGTTCATTTCCATCGTTGGTGGGGTTCAGAATGCTCTTTGATTGTAGGTGAACTATAAATCCCAGAAACTACAACTCCCAAATGATAAAATCATTTTTTTTTAGTGAAGGACATASATTGGGTTGTTAGGTGTCTTGCGTCCAAATTTGGTGTCAATTCGTCCAGTGGTTTTTGAGTTTTGTTAATCCCAAAATGAACATTACATTTTTATTTATATAGATTTGCAGATTTCTTAATATTTAACTCAAAACCAGACCACCGCTTATGTGATTTATGCTATTTTTTGTCSCTTGTTTGGCTGTTTTTTGTGCTTATAATTTGACATCTGAGCTTGTTTCATTATATCTATTAAAGTGAGCTGCAATCTATAAAAGTCTGCACCAGAATAAATTTGTTAGCATTTAAGGTGCCATGGAAGAATATATGTTTCTGTTTACTCTGACTAGGTAACTAGAAAGCCTGCCTGTTGACCTGTCTGGGATGACAGCGGGACAGTATTATCTCCTGCARGGACTGCTATAGAATCAACAAAACATCTACAATCCTGGCACCATATAGAATCCACCAAAATATTAAAACATAAATAAAAATACATTGCAGCCACTCTGTGTTATCTACCTACTGACTGAGATATCAAATACACTGACCATTTAAGTCGGTTTTAAACCAGTTCAGCAGGAACTGGTTTTCCTGTGTGGATGGTATGATTGCTATTTCTGGAACAGATTTCAGACCAGGATGGTGATTACATTAACTACGAAAGTGATCTGGAACTGGTTCCACAATCAATAGTATCAATGGCTTGCACATTTACATTGTGGACACAAGAGGTAGAAAAAAAAAGGGAAAGTGAGAACTAGCAGTAGAGATAATCAATTATCTATCCCAGGGGGTCAACTGACCACCTGTTCCCCAATCATGCCCTTGACTTTTTCTCATCAGTCAGCCACATTCTGAGTTTTACAATACACATCAGTGCATCGGTTGTCCACAATGAACTTTGTATGCTATGGAGCTGATTTTGCCATGTTGTGTGATTTACTTTGCATTCAGGGGCTCGTTTTGGACTTTCCACCAACGTATGTTAAAACCCCTTAAAGTGTGCTGTAGTGTTCTTCAGTGGTGTGTGTTATTTAGCTACTAAGAAACAAGCTGCTGAATGCACAGCAGTCAGTGTAAATAAGCACAATTATTACCTATCTTTACAGATTGTAAGTCATCCTGATACCTTAGGAATATAAAGTACATTTGGAATGGCATGTTTTGGAGGGGGAAAAAATCAAGTTGGAAATATAAAAAGTTCCAGGTATCTGAATGGAAACTGACATGTGTATTTACAAATCTTTATACTTTTTTAAAAAAGTTTAAATTTGATTTTTACAAAAGAAAAAAGAACTGAGGCACAGTGTAACTCAATAGCATCCACAAGTCCAATTCATTTGTTTTACATAGAAAGGAACATAGCTCTAAATACAACTAGTTACTGGGTCATCAAAAAACAAAAATGCAAGTCTCAAAATGGTTTTACCAAATGAAAGTGTTGATTCCAGCTAATGTAGCTATGGATTTCTCTATACTTTTTCACATTAAAAATACACTGGCAAATAAAATGATACACACGTCAATTTCTAAGAAAAGCTCAAATCTTCAAAAAAGGTATTTTGAGCCGAGCTGTTGAGCCTCTACATAAAAAGAAAAGCTTTCCAGTGCACAAAAAAGGGACAGACTTTGGCCCCTTCTCCACAGTTGTATGGAAGGGAAGGAATGGAAGGAAAAAGGAAGAGGGGCCGACCAAGGGCAAGATGGATGGATAGTATCCTTGAAGTGACTGGCTTGACCTTGAAGGAGCTGGGGTGGTGACGGCCGACAGGGAGCTCTGGCGTGGCCTGGTCCATAAGGTCACGAAGAGTCGGACGCGACTGAACAACACACAGTTGTATAAAATCCACATTGAAATGGATTATATGGTAGTGTGGACTCCGATCACACAGTTCAAAGCAGATACTGTGGACTGTCTGCTTTGATATTCTGGAATATATGGCGTTGTGGAAGGGCCCTTTTTAATAATAATGGGTTCATGGCAAACCTCGTCCTGACTACAGACCCAATGAGGCTCCTTCCACACATCTGAATAAAATCCCATATTATCTGCTCTGAATATATGGCAGGGTTATCCAAGGGCCATTCCAGAAAGGCCCTATATCCCAGGAGCTGATCCCAGGTTTTCTGTTTATCCCAGTTTATCTGGCAGTGGGGACTCCTACAATAACAAGGTTACAGCGAGAAAATATGGAATCAGATATAGGGTATAGGGCCTGTCCAGAAGGGCCCTCATATAACCCAGTTCAAAGCAGATATTGTGGGATTTTCTGCCTTGATATTCTGGGATATAGGGCTGTGTGGAAGGGCCCCCAGAATTTCAAGATAGGTAATCCACAATATCTGCTTTGAACTGGGTTATCTGAGGGCCCTTCCAGTCTGGCCCTATACCCCATATCTCCATATTTTCTTGCTGTAACCTGGATTGTAGGAGTCCCCACTGCCAGATAAACTGGGATAAACAGAAAACCTGGTATCAGCTCCTGGGATATAGGGCCTTTCTGGAAAGGCCCTCAGATAACCCTGCCATATATTCAAAGCAGATAATATGGGTTATCAAGTCAGAAAACCCTACAACATCTGCTTTGAACTGGGATATATGGCAATGTGGACTCAGGGCTCTTCCACACAGCCCTATATCCCAGAATATCAAGGCAGAAAATCCTACACTGTATCCGCTTTGAACTGGAATACATGTCAGTGTGGACTCAGATAGCCGAGTTCAAAGCAGATACCGTGGGATTTCCTGCCTTGATGTTCTGTGTTATACGGCTGTGTATAAGGGCCCTGGTTTCCATTAAACCCCTTTGTTCCCAAATGAAAAGTTTTTTTCCTGTTCTGTTCCCCCCTCTTCGAGTCTGACAGTTGTTGGGCCTTCATCCGCCATGTCTCTTCTCGCGAGAAGAGCGCGAACCCTCGCCTTGCGCGGCCCTCACCGATGAAGGGGGCGCTTGTTGTCCAGCCTCCCTTCGTGCTCTGTCCTTTTCCGAGGGGTTCCCTGCCGCGGGCCACACTTGCTCGTTCAGCGCCTAAGCGTCCGCGTAAGGTCACGCAGCGCTTCCCCACTCAGTCCGCGAGCCTGCCGCGACGGCCGCGAGGCGCATGCGCCAACGCCGGCGGCGGAGGAATCTCATTAACCTCGCGCCGCCGTCGCGTCATAAAAGAACTTCGCTGAGGGGTGATGCGGCTGGAGGAGCCGCAGCGCCGAGAACGTCAGTGAAGGGAGAGCCGGGGGAATAGGAAGGAGGGAGAGGAGGAGGAGGAGGGGGCGGCGGAAGGGGACGACGGAGSGGCGTGCAGGGGCGGGGCGGGGGCGCCGACGAGGGACTTGAAAGGGGAGCGCCCAGGAGGCCCGCGCGCGCCCCCTCCCTCCCTTCCAGCCTGCCTCTTCCGCCGAGCAGCCCCCGCGCTCCCTCCGCCGCCGGAAAAGTAGTCCCGCTCCTTCCTCTTCGCCTCCTTCCTGCCTCCTCGCGCGCCGCCCTCCACAGGCTCCGCCGCCGCCGCCGCCGCGATGGCGCTGAAGAGAATCCACAAGGTAAGGCAGGCAGGCCGGGAAAGAYGGAGGAAGGCGCCGCTCCAGGGGATGCCCGGCCCTTCCCTCCCTCCCTCTCCCTCTCTCGTGGGGGACTTGGCTGTGGAGGAGGAGGAGGAGGGAGGAGGCCTCCTTGGTGGCRCTTCGCGCCGTGTCAGCTGGGCCTCCCCGCCCCGAGGCGAGGCCCCGCGCTTGGGCCCCAAACCCTCGGCAGGCGGCGCCTCTCCGGCCTAGGCCGCAAGGCGCCTCCTGCGAGGGCCCTTCCCGAGGCCTATTGTTCCAAGGCGGCCCTCGCCTTTCCCAGAAGGAGGCCCGTGCTTTTGGTTTCTCTTTCCTGCCCCTCTCCCCGCCCGGGAGGCCAGGGATGAAGGGCACGCCTTGAGCCTGGCGCTGGGCATCGCTTCAAGCAAAGGGAGGGCGCCTTGCCCGGAAGAGAGGCAGGTGTGCGGCCCCCTCTCCCGCCATCCAGGCCCCGTCTACACTGCCAGATAAAAGTCCACATTATCCGCATTGGACTGGGTTATATGGCACGGTGGACTCATATATAGATGATGTGGATTCTGTGCTTTGTTCATCTGGGTTATGTGGCTAAGGCCTCTTCCACACAGTTGTATAAAATCCACATTGAACTGGATTATATGGCAGTGTGGACTCAGGACCCTTCCACACAGCCATATAATCCAGAATATCAAGGCAGGAAATTCCACAATATCTGCTTTGAACTGGGATATATGGCAGTGTGGACTCATATATAGATGGTGTGAATTCTGTGCTTTGTTCATCTGGATTATATGGCTAAGGCCTCTTCCACACAGTTGTATAAAATCCACATTGAACTGGATTATATTGCAGTGTGGACTCAGGACCCTTCCACACAGCCATATAATCCAGAATATCAAGGCAGGAAATTCCACAATATCTGCTTTGAACTAGGATATATGGCACTGTGGACTCATATATAGATGATGTGGATTCTGTGTTTTGTTCATCTGGATTATATGGCAGTGTAGAGGCCTCTTCCACACAGTTGTATAAAATCCACATAGAACTAGATCAGTGGTTCTCAACCTGTGGGTTCCCAGATGTTTTGGACTTCAACTCCCAGAAATCCTAACAGCTAGTAAACTGGCTGGGATTTCTGGGAGTTGGAAGCCAAAACACCTGGGGACCCACAGGTTGAGAACCACTGAACTAGATTATATGGCAATGTGGACTCAGGGCCCTTTGACACAGCCATATAATCCAGAATATCAAGGTAGGAAATCCCACAATATCTGTTTTGAACTGGGTTATATGGCAGTGTGGACTCAGATAACCACTTCGAAGCAGATATTTTGGGATTATCTGCCTTGATATTCTGGGTTATGTGACTCTGGAAGAGCCCTAGATTATGTGGCGGTGTAGAGAGGACCTAAGGCCCTTTCCACACAGCTGTATAAAATCTACATTGAACTGGATTATATGGCAGTGTGGACTCAGGGCCCTTCCACACAGTCATATAACTCAGAATATCACGGCAGATAATCCACAATATCTGCTTTGAACTGGTGGCCCTTCCACACACCCATATTAACCAGAACATCAAGGCAGAAAATCCCACAATATCTGCTTTGAATTGGAATATATGGCAGCGTGGACTCAGATAACCCAGTTCAAAGCGGATATTGTTGGATTTTCTGTCTTGATACTCTGGTTTATATGGCTGTGTGGAAGGGCCCTGGGTTATCTGAGGGCCCTTCCAGACAGTTCCTATATCCCAGAATCTGATCCCAGGTTTTCTGTTTACCTCAGATTATCTGGTAATGCGGACTCAGGGCCCTTTCACACAGCCCTATATCCCAGAATATCAAGACAGAAAATCCCATGTTTTCTGTCTTGAAGTGGGATATATGGCAGTGTGGACTCAGATGACTCAGTTCAAAGCAGATATTGTGGGATTTTCTGCCTTGAGATTCTGGGATATAGGGCTGTGTGGAAGGGCCTTCAAAGAATCCAATTTAAAGCAGAAAGCCTGGGATCAGTTCCTGGGATATAGGGCCTATCTGCGAGGGCCCTAGGTCCATACTGCCAGATAATCCAGTTCAATGTGGATTTTATACAGCTGTGTGGAAGGGGCTTCAGATAACCCAGTTCAAAGCAGATTTTGTGGGTTATCTGCCTTGATAGTCTAGGTTATATGTCTGTGTGGAAGGGCTCACAATCTTTTCCTCTAGAACTTAGTGGAGGTAATCCTTCCATGAACTTAGGGCCCTTCCACACAGCCATATAATCCAGAATATCAAGGCAGTAAAGCCCACAATATCTGCTTTGAACTGGGTTATTTTAGTCCACACTGCCATATATCCCTGGGCCCTTCTACGCAGCCCTCTATCCCAGAATATCAAGGCAGGACATCCCACATTATCTGAGTGTGAACTCAGATAACCCAGTTCAAAGCAGATATAGTGAGATTTTCTGCCTTAATATTCTGGGATATAGGGCTGTGTGGAAGGGCCCCCAGTTCAAAGCAGAAAATGTGGGATTTTATTCAGCGGTGGGGGGGGGGGGGTCTTAGATGAAACAACAGGAACACACCTGCAGCCCAGGAGGGAAAGGGGTCAGGCATGCCTCTGCCTCCTTTGTGTGCCCGCCTGGTGCTTCCTCTGCCACCTCTGCCCTCAGTCATCTTCCCTGCTACTTCCTGCCTCGGGTGTGTCTCCGCACATCTTTAATGACACCTTTGGATTTATGCTTTAAGCATCTTGCAGTTCTCTCAAGGGAACAACATCCAGGCTACTGCAGTTGGAAAGCAAGCCTCACATACCTTTCTTCATGGCAAGCAGACCCAATGTGGAGTTTGTGCCCAAAAGGCACCAATGTGGCAGCACATTGTTGGATAGGGGTGGGCTATTATGTACAGATCAAAGGGATGAAAATGTATCAAATAACTCTTCTACAGGGCTGGGGAAATTGCATTTTGTAGCTAAAACACATCCCCAGTACACCCCCCCCCCCCAGTTTCCTGTATAATTTGTTCAGCTGGAATGTTTACCTTTTGGAAACCACAATAGTATAGTGACTATTCCTTTTTTATTCTTTACTTTTTTCATTGATTAATACTAGTTGGCACCCTCATTTTTATCCTCATAGTAAAACCTGGCCAAAGAAATGTATGCTATGGACGTTTACCTATGAAAATACATTTGGAATTGGTGTATAGCCAAATCGGTAAGCCATATGACCAGGGCCTTAGTCAAAAGCCGCTTCCACACAGCCATATAAAATCCACATTAAACTGAATTATATGGCAGTGCGGACTCAGATAATCCAGTTCAAAGTTCAAATGGATTATCTGCCTTGATATTCTGGGTTATATGGTTGTGTGGAAGGGCCCTAAGACAGGGTTTAGGGCACATTTGACCCTAGAGATACCAGACTCTTGCCCAATGGTGGGGGATGGTGGAAATTGCAGTTCGGGAACATCTCAGGGCTAACATCGCTGGAAGAGTTAAACTGAAACATACAAGTAATATAAAGGCTGTGTTCTGATGTATAGCAGTTCTAATAACTTAAGTATAGTTGTATCATCTTCATTTATTTGAAGTAAAGCGTTTGGAATATGGACGTAAAGATACTGATCTTAATTAATTAGATTTGATAGTTACTTCTATAACTGACTTTTAAAAATATATATTCTAACCATTTTGAGATACACAATTATCAAGCTACACATTCTCAAAGTTAAATAACTAAAAAGTCCCACAAAATTTGTTAATAGCAGGTAGCAACTAAGGCACAATATCACCCTTTTCTGAAATGTCTATCCTGAGGAGGTTGCCAGATTGTCTTTTAAAACATTGGGCATAGTTCTAATCTATTTGGACTTCTGTTTAAATACTTGGAATTTAATAACCCACTTACGAAACTCAGACTATTCTAACTAATACTTTGGCTATGTTCAAATATTTCATGAAATCAAGAATGTGTCTTCAAACAGCAAATATGTTGACCACCAGCATTGACTATATCAGGGAATTGTTCTACTTTTGAATAGATTGCTTTGAGGTTTTTCTTTTTCTTTTGGTTCCAAACAATTTATTTGCTTTGTGCTTTCCTCATAGATCTCAAGGTGTCTTACAATCTTACAAGAAACCATATTGGAATCTTTGGAACACTAGTATAGGCACTTAAAAGTCTTCCAAACAATCTAGGAAATTTTTTCCTTTTTTTTTTTTTACAGTGGGGGAGGATTAATAGCAAATATTTTCTTGGAATATTTTATGTCCAGTTGCTTTTTCTGCTTACATGGAAAAAAATGAATGGCAAAAATTTAGGAGTACAGGTTGAAAATCCCTTATCCAAAATGTTTTGGACCAGAAGAGTTTGGAATATCAGATTTTTTTTTTGTTTTTGGCATTTGGAACCTTTGTATTTGCATATACTTTCATAACAAGCTGTCTTGTTGTGAAAGAGAACCCAAACCTAAACACAAGGTCATTAATTTTTAATATACCTTATATACATAGCCTGAAGGTAATTTTATACACAGTATTTATAATAGGTTTGTACATGGAACAATTTTTTTGTGCATTGATCCCTCAAAAAGAAAAGGTGTCACTGTCTCGGGCAGCCTTGTGGACAATTTTGAATTTTGGAGTATTTTGGAATTCCAAGAAAAGGTTCTTCATCCTGTACTGTGAACATTTATTAGGAGTTCTGTGGGTCTGTTCATACATTCTGCAGGGAAAAGTGCCCCAGTTTTCCATTTTTGACTGCTTGTTGGGCATGAAATTAAATAGGTACATTTAGAAAGGCGTTACATTCTTCTCTGTTTGTGGGAAAGAAACATTTAAGTAATGTGACATAATCACTATAGGAACATGAACATTGTCCAAAAATCTTCGGGTTTGCATATATCACAAATTACTGCCCCAAGCTATTCACTGAGGAGGACATTCAATATCATACAGTTGTGCTTCCTGGAGCTTACTTGTGGTATTGCTTTTTGGGTAAAGCAGGACGATTAAAGCAGTATATCTGCACATAACACTTTTATTACAGGTTTTTAAATAGGTGATATGTAGAATTCCAAGGTTCTTCACAGAGGAGACTACTCCTACTTCCTATGGTGTGTGCATACTGTTTTCTCTCCCTGGTTCTAAGTAATACCTTAGGTTAGATTATTTCTTCTCCTCCCTCCTTTTCATTCCTCTGTATCCCCCAGAAAAGCCTTGCCTGGGTCTTGAGAGAGCCTTAGGAAAGCTATACTCTAATAATAATAATAATAATAATAATAATAATAATAATAATCAAACTTTATATTCCACTATCATCTCCCTGAAGGTAGACGTGGTGGCTCACAAAAAGCACACTGTAGTGCTGCAACAAACAGCATACATTTACATAAACATACTTTTGTATAAAGACAATATACATTTGTCGTAACTACATGCATTTTGTGCCTTTGGTTTTATTCAAGAAAAATAGTCACATACTATATACCCAATGTAACAAAAAGCAGTGCAGATTGTTGCTTTGTGAAATGCAAATATAGAGCTCATAGGCTTCCTTTTTTTGGGGGGGAGAAATGGAAATGAGGGTAAAACCATCAATATTGTAGTAGATGAAAGCATGATTTTACCTTGGCTTTAGTAATACTTTTCTGTGCCTGGGCACTAAGGTGTAGAAATGGCATACATTTATGTTTTGGAGAAAAAGCTTCAAGTTCCTATAATGTAATCAAGGAACAGCATTTAATTTGAGGATTAAATCATTGAAGATTTCTGATTTATCATTGGTACTCAGCAGATGTTAGAATTTCTGTAGACAGAAAAATTAGCCATCCTTATTGATTTGTCTTTTTAAAATAGTATCGTACTTTGTATGTTTGATTAAAATTACTGCAAAAATCTATAGGTGCCTATTTTGAACTTTAACTTCAGCTGCAAGGACTTCAAAAAATAGAAGAATTGCAACAAGCTGCTTGACTCTTTCTAATGTTAATTCATTCTTTTATTGCGTGTATGTATTTTGAAATACTCATCAGCGTTTCCTTTTATGTGGAAGATGGAAGAACCTGAGACAAGTATAAAGGAAGAGGAGTCAGACTGTTCAGTTCAAAGGCTTTTTCACCATTTTGCAGGCGTAATATCCTGGGTGCACTCCTACATCAAGTATTCCTTCTTTGAGTACTTCAAAATATACACATTACAGAATGTGGAAGTTTGCCAAAATAGAATCACAAGACTATTATTTTGAAGTGAGAGCCCAGTTGAAAGGAATATCATTGCTAACATTACTATAGAATCTTGGGTTTTAAAGTTGCAGCTTTAGCAACACAGTTTTCCAATAATATGTCGAAAGGTGTTTCACCATCACATTGAGGAGGGGGGGGGGACCAAGTCTGCCCCCCTCCTCCCACCCCATTGTCTTCAAACGTTGTCCATTTAAGCCAGAGAGACCAAAGTCATTCACTCTTGCTAACAGTCAAGAAGGATTGAGTCTGGAAAACAGAGCCAGGGTGGTCTTGATTTTTTCAGATCCAGGTTTTCTAAACAGATTTCATATATTACTTTGACTAGATCTGCATGAAAAAATACACTGATAGAATTGTGTAATCATAACAATATTACTTATGGTGTTTGTTTAATATATTTTTGTGGTATTGCGTTCTTTCTATTTTTGAGCACTCTTTAAGGCTGCTCATAATGCCTCAATTTCATTTGATAGTCCCAGCTTGATTGTAGACTCATTCAGTACGTAGAACCTAAGTGTTGACTTAAACTTTCCATTGATTCAGAGAGTCTGATGTGGTAGGGAGTTTGGAATTAGACTCACATTTCAAAACAAAAGACAAAATATCTTTATGGGTACAGCAGTTGAAAATCAAAAGATCAATGTAAACATTTCCAAACAGGTAAATTTAAATAATCAATTAGCATGTATAATTATCATATATAATGTAATTATTATACTCATGTATAAGTTAACCTCATGTATATATTGAGAGCAGGTTTTGAGGTCAAAATTATAGATTTTGATATGACCTGTGGATAAATTGAGGGTCATTCTGCAGCAAGGGGAAAGCATCAGTGCTGCCTCAGGGAGCCAGTTGCCCCTGGGCACCATCATTTCTCCATCCAAGCAGTAAAAAAAGGCAGAAGTACTGCAGCAGAGGGAATAATAGGGTTTGGTGTTTAGAGTTTCCTAGGTGGAGTAAGCTCTTGCTTTTCCCACTCTACTTAGAGAAGGGGATGGCTCTTTTTATGTGGTAAGAATCAAGGTGCAGTCTTCACAGTTGTCTGTGAACTCAGGTTTTTTAGGTTGATTTTTTAAAACTAAAATTTCTAGATTCTTACCGAAACACAATTTTGTTTCTTTTCTTGTTTTGTGTTTTAGTTCAAAAGATACATTTTCCCTTATGTAGAACACAATGGACTCAAAACAGCAGTTCCTTTGGGGTTTTCTGTGCACCAGTGAGCAGATCCTCTAATGCAGGAGTGGGCAACACTGAAAGGTTAGAAGGAGGCACATGATATTTTCAGGAGATCTTGGTGAGATGTACCTGCTCCTGCAAAAAATAAAATGAAATGAATAAATTGCCTCGAAACACTATCTGTGCTACTCTTGGGGCCTTCCAGGGGACTCTAGCGAAGTTATAAGGATGATTTATTTTTTTCTGAACTCAAGCTGGTAACTCCAAAGCATATGGAAATGTCCTCACTAGAATGTAATTGGGGGCATTTTGAAGCAAGATTATTATTTTTTTGGAATAAAATATTTTGCCTTCTTTTGGATTCTGGGGGCCGCAAAAATGACAGTGGCCCACATGCAGCGCAAAGGCTACGTTTTGCCCAGTACTGTTCTAATATGCTATAAACTAATTTTAAAACTTCAGCTCAAATTGTTTGGCATGCTGCTGAAAGATTACATCTTCAGTGCCGTAGTGTGCATGAATGAACAAGTTGGGCAATTGACAGAACACTTTTTCCTTTATTGCAAAGGGAGACATCTGCATCAAAGTAACTCCTGATGCTTCCAAGTAGAATGCCACACTTTTTGTTTCTTTGCTCTTGGTGGCAGTGGAATGGATAGGGCTATAACAAGACTGGCATAGATTTATCCATGCATCTATTGCAGGGGAAATAAAGGGCTGAAGATGTTGGGTGTCTGCCTTTGACATGCAGCAACCAACACTTTCCTTCTATCTGTCACCTGGAGACTACAGAGGCACAAGTGTCACCTTACCAATTTACCTCTGTTTTTGGTAGCAGAGGAACACGCATGCTGCTTGAGGCCCTTACACTGTTAGGTGAAGTTAGGATTTGAGGCTGAATGGAGGTAATACTACTGAAGTTAAGAATCATAATACATTTCTAGGTTGTTTTTAGGAGCACAGATAGTGAAGCATTTTAACATAGAACAGTGTTTAGTTTTCCTTAACAATTGTGTAAAATATACATGTTATTCAGTTGCCATGTATTTTAAAGTATAACAGGCCTGCTGTATCTGTTGGGTTTGGCTCTAGGACCTACTGGAGATATTAAAAAATATAGTTGCTCGCACCACATATTATTAAAAGTGGTGACATAAATGTGCACTCTATGGCATATTTTCATTCATGTTGCTACTTACTAATATGGGGTAACTGTCCAGGTTTCTTGGAAATCACTGATCCAGATCCCATTGATTCAGTGGGCTAACTGTATTTAAAGTGACAATTCTGTTCAAATCTCCCTTACTTGTCTCAGCCTGACAAGTCTTTTACCCAAAAGGAAGTGACTAGATGATCATTGTCAGGGAAAACTTCCTATCTGGATAAATATAAAAAAAGATTAGGAGTTGTCCTAATGTCATTTGAGGGCAAGCAAAAGGTTTGGGGGGAGTGGGAGGTGCAGGCACCTGTGATGAATGACAAACTCAGGCTTGGAGCTCACATTCTACCATTGGCAACTCTGGGTGGCCTAAAATACATATTCAGAACAGCTATGACCAGTCTTCTGGACATAATGCAACCCACTGGTATGCTTTGCTTTATTTTAAATTTCACAAAACAGAGTACCATTGAGTGGTCACCTAAAGCATCCTCTTGTGTATTTAAACTAATCTTTCAGCCCCCCTCCCCCCAAGCCTTGCAAGTCAAAAGGGATTTCATAGTTCCCTTCATGTAAAATATTTTCAAAATTGCATTGCATTTAACAATAAAATAGAGCAAAATCTTATATGTGGTACTGTTTTATTCTGGAGAAGTTGATTGGTTTCTAGTTGCTGGGTTGTTTGTGAGTTCAGACAGGACTGTAGTCAGTTTAATTTGATATGAACATGTGAGTATTAGGAAAGGGGATATGTAGCTTGCTGAACTTAGCAGCTAGCTAGTTGTAAAGCCCAGTTTTTCCTCCATAGTTTATGGTAAAAATTAGATTGGTTAAGAAATTAATCCTTTTCCACAAAACAGCTCAGGGAAATAGGAAATACATGTATGGTGGGAAGCCTAGGGAAATATTGGAAACAAGATAGAACTGGTGGCTCTAAGAAGGTTTAACAAACTGTGATGCAGTGTTGAAACTCAACAAACTTCTGTTTGAATCTCCACAAGTGTATATATTTCACCTTTAATGCTGTTGTTACTTTTAGTAATGGGAACCAACTGGAGTACCTAACTATTAGAAACCTACATTCCTAAATAATATTTTCAGATTTTTTAAAATCTTGAGTTTTAATGTAACTTGATATAATGAAAATATTCTGAATTAACTGTGGATTTGTTTTTAGGAACTGAATGACCTGGCGCGTGACCCTCCTGCACAATGTTCAGCAGGGCCTGTTGGAGATGACAGTAAGTACAGTGTAAAGTTTGGGCATAGAGAAGACACATGTTAATATGTATACTTGAGATTGTTTTTAAAATGCAGAGCATTTCATGTAGGCAGGTGTCAATTTAAATTGAAATTACATAGTCTTAGTATACTTTTGTAATGCGGTAATGCACAAAAAAACCCAGGTATGTTAAAAAAATTATTTTGGTCTTGAGCAGTGGTTCTCAACTTGTGGGTCCCCAGATATTTTGGCCTTCAACTCTCAGAAATCCTAACAGCTGGAAAAATGGCTGGGATTTCTGGGAGTTGTAGACCAAAACACTTGGGGACACACAGGTTGAGAACCACTGGTCTTGAGGAAGTACAAATTTACTTACAGGACTAGTTAATAAGTTTGCAGTTTCACTAAAACAATCCTGGGAAATAAATGTTTGATAAATGACATTGAGTAATTTGAGTTTGTGTTGATAAAATATCAAATGTGTCTTTCAGAAAATAGCGTTTTGTTTGAAGGGTCAAGAAAAACCTTCAGCTGCTTTTGCTAAATTATCTCTATTATAGTGTAGAAGCTTGCAAATGCATGCAGTCCTTGGGGTGCACGTGCCTCCAGAGAAGTTTTTGTGTCCCCCTGCCCGCCACCTCTCAATTTTTTGTTTTGTTTTATTCCAGAATACCCTCAAATGCACTCTATGGAGCATGGAGAGCATTTCCACCCATACGTGGAGCCTCCTTATTCCCTCAGGGTTAAAATTATTTTTGCAAAATCCTTTAAAATTGTCCCAAAATGCTCCAAAATCTCCACTAAAGGCACGAGGTGCATTTCCATCTCATTTTAAAACTTCTTGGGCTATTTCTAATACAGGAGAGGTCTTTTTAATTACCCTGATACCTAGAGGCATTTGGGGCCAAACAATTGTCTTGCTTTTATTTAGTTTTTACAGGGGTAATTGTGGTCGTCTAATGTGGCCCTCTCAGTTTCCACACTTGTCTGTCCTTGTTATAGATGTAACTTGAATGGTGTATTGAGGTCCCCTTCTGTTGTTAATATTGTGCTTATAACATACACTGAAATGCTGAATAATGCTAAAGAGGAAATACTAGTATTTGGGATCCACATTAGCTACACTATATTCAAAGCACAGTATAGTCATGATGACTGGAGATGTTAGTTTGCTTAATAATAAGACTTTAAGACTTTATTTGTATTCCGCCCTAACTCCCCTAGGGGACACAGGTTTAATATCAGTCTCAATTTCTTTCCTCCTGTAGTGTTCCATTGGCAAGCAACAATAATGGGACCAGTAAGTAGCCCTCTAATCTTACATAATTTTAATATAAATATAACCTTATCTTAAGTTGGGTTGCTGTGGATTTTCTGGGCTGTATGGCCATGTTTCAGAAGAATTCTCTCCTGACATTTTGCCCACATCTATGGCAGGCATCCTCTGAGGTTGGGTGGTCTGTTGGAAACTAAGCAAGTGGGGTTTATATATCTGTGGAATATCTAGGCTGGGAGAAATAACTCTCGTCTGTTTGAGGCAGGTGTGAATGCTGGAATTGGCGGAATGCTGGAATGATTAGCATATAATGGCCTTGCAGCTTCAAAGCTTGGCTGCTACCTGCCTGGAGGAATACTTTGTTGGGAGGTGTTAACTGCACCTGATTGTTTCATGTCTGGAATCCCCCAGTTTTCTGTGTGTTGTTCTTTATTTTCTGTCCTGATTTTAGAGTTTTTCTAAATACTGGTAGCCACATTTTGTTCATTTTTATGGTTTCCTCCTTTTTGTTGAAATTGTCCACATGCTTGTGGATTTCAGTGCTTTTCTGTGTAGTCTGACATGGTGGTTGTTATTCTAACATGCTTCTCTTTTCAGAATGACAGTCCCTATCAAGGTGGGGTGTTCTTCTTGACAATTCACTTCCCAACAGATTATCCCTTCAAACCACCTAAGGTAGTTGCATACTTTAGTGTTTACATCTCACTACTATTGATGTATCTGTTGTTTGTAGTAAACAAATCTACATGAGAACTTTCGTCTTTTAACAGGTTGCATTTACAACAAGAATTTACCATCCAAATATTAACAGTAATGGCAGTATTTGTCTTGATATTCTACGGTCACAGTGGTCTCCAGCGTTAACTATTTCAAAAGGTATGCGAGCTGTCTGGTGTAAATATAAAATGTTTTATACATTCCCATCAATAGAAAGCATCCTATTTTTAGCTTTAAGTTCTAAATTATCATATATCCTGTTGTATAAGTCAACCTTATATAAGGGTACTATCAAGGGTAGGTTTTGGGGCCCAAATAATGGATTTTTGTATGAAATATGGATATTGAGGGTCATTCTGCAGAGAGGAAAGCACCAATGCTACCTAGGGGTTGGCCAACGCCATTGTCCCACCCAGGCATTCAAAATGACCAGAAGTGATGCTGCGATGGAGAGAACAGAGGGCATAGGTACTACTTTTGGGTCCCACAGGATGGATTAAGCTCTTTTCTTTTGCCATTCAAAGGCATATTTTTTTTTATAATAAGAGTTTAGTACTTACATTGCTCAGTGGATAAATCAAGGGTTCTTGGGTTGATTGCTTGACTGCTGAATTTAAATTCTGCACCCTGACTAGATTGGGCTCAGGTTTACCATATTTGATTTGTATGTGATAAATAAAGCTTTAAAATGAACCATAATATCGTTATATGCTGTCTAAATATTTTAGAAATTTCCTCAGTATTTGAAAGATTTTCTAAGGGAGGGGGAGGAATAAAATTATATTGTGTAAACGTTTTGTTCAGATTCAGAGTTCTGACTGGGAATTATGTACTGGGATGTTTTAAATCCCTTAAAAAAAAGACAATAAATTTTTGTCTGAAAGAGGTACAGGTCCATGTCTGGGGTTTAGATAATAATCAGTGTTGTCTATGTGTAGGGACATTCAAGTGAAAGCACAGATTTATATTAAAATATAATATCAAAACCTACCTTGTAGAAGCAATATATGTATATTTGAAACACCCAAGCAGAACTGATGAAATATTTTATAGCGTCATGACTTTATTATCTAGTATTTTAATGAGAATGCCATCCAGATATTTACTCCTTTTTAAGAATGCATGACTTTACATCTTCTGGGGAATCTATGGGATGTTATTCAAACAGTGATGATCATTTTGCCTCTAGTTTGTGTTTATATTATGGGACTAGGAAGTCTTGGTTTGCATTTTAAAGAACGCTCCAATATTTTACTCTGTTTAACACTGCTTTCTCTTATTCATTCAATTGTAGCAGTATTCTAGTTGTGTTCTTGGTATCCAAGCTTCTTTAGTCACAAAAACCAGCTTAATTACCTCTTTGTTCCATGTCCTAAACTGTTCTGGAATTGAAGATCTTTTGTGCTACTTAGGTTGCCAATAACAAACTTCAGTTAGTAATATCCTGTTATTTCCCTAAATTAGTGGTATGAAACTTGTGGCCCTCCAGGTGTTTTGGACTTCAGCTCACAGAATTCCTTGCCATTGGACAAGCTGGCTAAACCTTCTGGGAGTTATAAGCCCAAACATCTGGAGGGCCACAAGTTTGCTTTCACTTCTTCCCTAAAGTATTACGCACATGGTTCCTACCTCTGTGTCTAGTTGCATTATGCCTAAGGGAAGAATTGTTGGGTAGAGAGGTAATTCCTTCCTTCCCTGCCCCCTTTTGTTGTTTTTCCTTAAGTAACTTCAGCAGCTAGATTTTTGAGTCTTGGAAAAGGAAACTACCTTGGGGGAGGAGTTTCAGAATATTAGTGATAGTAGAAAGGTTTCCCTTTCACTTCTATTTTACATGCCAGAGAGACATGAAAGATTTTTATACAATTAATAATAATAATAAAAACTTTTTTTGTATTCTGCCCTATATCTCTGAAGGGACTCAGGGCGGATTCCAATGATTCCAGTTGTTTTCCAGGAGTTTAAAACCAATTTATTGCTATGATTCCATCCAAAAGAATCCTTAAAATTTTACCTCTACCCTATTGCTTCTCAAAATGTGGGTGTTGACCCCAGATGGGGTCCCCTTAGGTCACAAAAGTTTGCAGCAGTAAAAGGTTACTGAACGCCACTCATTTACACTAATCTGTTAGCAACTATGCACAGTTCTTTGATTTTTAAACCTATATTATCTACCTATATATTTTGGGCCATGTAAACATTTTTCAAGCCGAAAGACCTCCTGAGTGTAAAAAGCTTAAGCCAACATGTCTGGACTACAGTGGCATTGCAGAGAACTATATCATCAGCACAAAACTGTGATTGTACTTTACTTGACTGAAATATAGACATAACCAAGGTCGCACCGGTGATAGCTTATAAAATCAAGGAAAGAGGTAGACTAAATTTAAAAAGTATTGTTTTGTTCAAATTCTGATAATGCATTTTCTTTCCTCCAGTACTTTTGTCCATCTGTTCTCTGTTGTGTGATCCCAATCCAGATGATCCCTTAGTGCCTGAGATTGCACGGATCTACAAAACAGATAGAGAAAAGTGAGTATCGAAGCTAAACTCTTCTAGTGTCTAAGAATGGATGAGTAGTTGAAAGACTTGATTCTAGAAGATGTGTACTTAATATATTGGCAGACTCTGTGTACATGGCACCGGAGTCATTCATTCTTGTGAAAAGGTACCTGTCTTCTGTTGGCAGCCCTGCATTAATTTTTCCAGATTTTTTAAAATGATATTTATCAGTGAGTAACAAGGTTTCCTTCTCAACTGGACTGGCTAATTCAATAAAAGTCTGGTTAATGTCATCTATACCTTTCCACATTACTATTTTGCAATTGCCTCTCTTAGGCCCTTCAGTTTCTGCTTTTGGGCTGCAGAGGGAGGAACAACTTTAAGCTTCTGCCACAAGAGAACCTGATTCGGGTGGTGGTAGGTGACAAGAAATATACATGAGTTTGACTTCCTGTGCAGCAGCCAGCAGGAGTAATAATGGGCAGATGCCCATGTTGATTGTAATGAGAAATTATTGAGTTTCAGTTTGTTCCATTGTTTAAAAATTACTTTCTAGCAAATACTGCTCTAAATTAATCACTGAGAACACTGAAACACTGAAGAGTGACTTCCTTTAAAAGAATGGCATGGGCATCATTTCAGCCTTCTCAAGAGTGTGAAGTGTGGCTCGAGCAGAATGAATGGCAGACAAGCTAGTGTTGAAAATGGAAAGTTGAGAATCATCTTAATCTCTGTGCTGTTTAAGAAATACACACTTCTAAATCAGCAGGTGACTGCTGTATAAAAACATTTGTTAAATGCATCAGTACATCAAAGGAAATTATTATTACCCCTATTTCTTCAATTATAAGACACCATCAATTGCAAGACACCATCTAATTTCAGTACCACCACCACCAGAAATAAATGATACACCTGCAATTCTAAAACACACCCCATTTTAGAGATTTTTTTTGATAGGAAAAAACTGCATCTTACAATTGAAGAAATACAGTAGATGATTGGATTGCTGTGATTTTTCCAGGCTGTATGGCCATGTTCCAAAAGCATTCTCTCTTGATGTTTTACCCACATCTATGGCAGGCATTCTTAGAGGTTGCGAGGTCTGTTGGAAACTAGGCAAGTGAGATTTATATGTCTGTGGAATGTTTGGTGTGGGAGAAAGAACTCTTGTCTGCTTGAGGCAAGTGTGAATGTTGCAATTGGCCACCTTGATTAGTATTTAATGGTGACGCAGCATCAAAGCCTGGCTGCTTGCTGCTTGGGGGAATCCTTTGTTGGGGGTGTTAGCTGACCCTGATTGATTATTATCTGGAATTTCGCTATTTTTTCGGTGTTGCTCTTTATTTACTGTCCTGATTTTAGAGGTTTTTTTAAATACTGGTAGCCAGATTTTGTTCATTTTATGGTTTCCTCCTTTCTGTTGAAATTGTCCACATGCTTGTGGATTTCAATGGCTTCTCTGTATAGCCTGACATGGTAGTAGTTAGAATGGTCCAGCATTTCTGTGTTCTCAGATAATATGCTGTGTCCAGGATGGTTCCTCAAGTCTTCTGCAGTAGCTGACTTCTCTGGTTGAGTTATGTTCCTTGATTTGTTTTTGGTTGCTGCGTTTGGTGATCCCTATGTAGACTTGTCTACAGCTCCATGGTACAGCTCCGAGCGAGCGGGTAAGGAGGAGGGTGAAAAGCAGGAGGAGGGCTTGCTTGCTTTCCTTCTTTCCCCGAGTGAGTGGGGAAGGAGGAAGGGAGGGGGAAAGAGGAACCCCCCTACTTTGCTGATTTTCACTTATTGCGTGTGGTCCTGGAACATAACACCTGCGATAAGTGAGGGAACACTGTATACAGTTGACTCCTGCAGAGGTGAGAAGATCCCTTTTGTCCTTTGCTTAACATAGCATCCTGTCACCTCTGCAGGAGTCAGCCACATACCATGGAGCTGTGGACAAGTCTACATAGGGACCACCAAAAACGCAGCGCCCAAACACGAATAAAGGAACATGAAAGGCACTGCAGACTGATTCAGTCAGAGAAGTCATCCATAGCAGAGCACTTGTTGAACCAACCTGGACACAGCATATTATTCGAGAACACAGAAATGCTAGACCACTCTAACAACTACCATGTCTGGCTACACAGAGAAGCTATTCAAATCCACAAGCATGTGGACAATTTCAATAGAAATTGAAACTATGAAAATGAACAAAATCTGACAAACAGTATACATAAAACTCTAGAATCAGGACAGTAAATAAAAAGCAACACTAAAAAATAGCAGAATTCCAGAAAAGAATAAATTAGGGCCAGCTAACACCTCCTAACAAAGGATTCCCTCCAGGCAGCAACCAGCCATGGTTTGAAGCTGCAGTGCTATTAAATGCTAATCAAGGTGGCCAATTGCAACATTCACACTTGCCTCAAGCAGACAAGAGTTCTCTCCCACCCTGAACATTTCACAGATATATAAACCTCACATGCCTGGTTTCTAAAGACCTCTCAATCTCTGAGAATGCCTGCCATAGAAGTGGGCGAAATGTTAGGAGAGAATGCTTCTGGAACATTGCTATACAACTCGGGAAAACTCACAGCAACCCAGTGATTGTGGCCATGAAAGCCTTTGACAACACAGTAGATGATATTGTTCATGCTTTTCAACCTATGAAAAGTATGTAGTTGAAGTTCATGTGTCAAGAAGTAAACATAAAAAGCTTGAGATACTTCATCAAAAAAAATCTGTGGCAGCATTAATGTTCCTAAAACATTCTTTTCTGTTGTGTCAGAGATCTGAACAGTATTGTTACAGTGCCTTTTGTTTTTGTTAGCTAATTGATCTAGAGCTTTAATATTCTGTGCCTGTAATTTGATTCAGTGTTAGAAATACCTTGTGATCCATTCCACTGTAACAAAGTGCTTGTCCTTATTGGTGAGGTGTACTCCTTACTAATTGTCTTTTTTGTATATGCAGGTACAACAGAATAGCTCGAGAATGGACTCAGAAGTATGCGATGTAATTAAAGAAATTATTGGATAACCTCTACAAATAAAGATAGGGGAACTCTAAAAGAGAAAGTCCTTTTGATTTCCATTTGACTGCTTTCTATGAGCCCACGCCTCATCTTCCCCCGTGCACATGTTTACCTGATACAGCAGTGCTGCGTGTTGTACATACTTGGAACAATGAATACTGTATTCCATACCAACATTGACTCCTAGCAAAGAAATGTGTGTGAAAAGCCAGTTCTTCAGTCAAAGTGTAGTTGTGAGCATAAAAGCATTCCTGAAAAATTTAAAATTGGGCAGTAAAACCAAAATGGGGGGAGACAATAAAGAGTAAATGTGTTCATGTGCTTTGGAGGGCTTTCCGTGATTAAAAACACCCTTTTTATAAATATAAAAAAAGAGTGGAATCCTTTTAATCTCATAACTCTTATGGAAAACCAGGTGGTAAGAACTTAAATCGGTGTCTGTATTTTATTCTGAAGGACCTTCTAAGGGAAATGTATGACCAACAAGATCAAATAATGCCCACATCCTCTGTTTAAAGGTCTAAGTTAAACTGGTCAGCATTTAAGTGCATTGGAGCTATTAGTGCATCAAGTGACGTTGATTTTGTTTCAACTCTTCCCCTTCCTTCCCCTTCATGATTTTGGTTTGTATGTGTTTTCTCAGTTAACATAGCTAATAGCTCTTATTTTCTTAAGTTTTTAACTGCTTAGGTCTTTCTGGATGTAAGGGTAAAAATTCATTTGACAGACTTGTGTATATTTAAAGACTCAGCTGCTCCCTTGGAGCTTGTACGTTCAAGAATGATTAATCTGTGTAATAAACTGATTACTACAGTCATTACATATAACTGTGTGAATAGGCTTAATTCTTTGTGGGCTCGGGTTGAAGGATGTCTCGGGTTCTTGCCTTGGAATAATAACATTTTAGAATTGTAAATCTTCAGGGCTTCGTGATAAAAAGCAGGACCTCAAGGAGGAAAACTCAACTGCTCAGTGGGACAATTCCAAACAGTACTGTTAGTGTACCAACTTCCATGTTTAGTTTATGCATGTTCATGTGACAGAACTTTACTGTTAAACCAGATGAACAACTTGCAAATTCAGCTTTTCTTTACCAGGGAATAGTTCTGATGTCTATGTCAATAAAACATGTAGTTTTAAACATGGATTTAAAACAGTAGATTTTACCTGATTCAGAAGCGCAAACATCCATGAATGGCACACTTTGAAGACTCACATTAAATATTTTGAAATGGTCAAGGTACATACATATCTTTGAACAGCCTTCATTTGAAATCTAGTGAAAATGTAGTTTGAAGTTGTTTAAACAAGTGTCCCCTGCAAACTTTAATGTTAATAAGCTGAGTCAAGTGTACAAAGCATTCTGGGTTTAGTCTCTTTCAGAGTTGTGCTCTGCCCCATCCATTTTCAAACTCATCTATACGTTTTTTGTGCAAACAAAAGAATAAATGTCCACTAATTTCATTTTATATTGGTTCTATTTATGTGCTTGTAGTATATGGATTGCATGTGGATCTGACATACTTCCGGAGTATTCTACTTAGGCAGTTTCTGTGGAAAATGTGACAGATCTAAATTACTTTTGTTGCCAGGGATAAGTCAGGCAGATTTCTATGTCAACAACTTAGTGGTGCTATTTCAGTTGCTACAACTTGTACATCCCTACACCCACAAGGGCCCTTTATACATAGTAGTTATATAACACCTTTAAAGGTGTTTGTGGAGTTTTATGTAATTATCTCAATGCTCACCTCAGCCCACTGATATTCCAGTGCTTACCTATACTTTGGTCAGGCTTAGACATTGCTTGCTTGAGGCATCCAGTGACTTAATGCTTTGCTTCAGATTTATATTAGAGTTCACAGTTTGTGACTAGTATGTTGGAATGCTGTTGGCTCAGACTCTGAGTATTGTTGACAGGGTTTAAGACCTACAAGTTTTGAAATCTTTGACCTTAGGCTAGAGGAAAATGGAGCATGTAAAGGGGAGAACACACATAGTTTGTATGTCTATCTTCATCTCCTTTTTAGCAAAATGTCATAGGATACTAGAAATGCAGTAAAGAATATGTGGGATACTGGTAATTAATGTTTAAAATTGAAATGTCTTGCTTCTAAAGTTTAGCCAAGCACAAACCCATCTGTGTAATCAAGAGGTGGGTATTGACATTCAAAATGGAGATTAAGGAGTACTCTTCCATGCTTCTTTCAAAGTCAAGGTACAAAGGCAGCAGGATAGCATTTTACTGTAAAATATTACATACTACACCCAGACTCTATTTCTAGATATGAAAATTACTGCAGATGCAGACTGCAGTCAGGAAATCAGAAGATGTTTACTTCTTAGAAGGAGAGCAATGACCAATCTTGATAAAATAGTAAGAGTAGAGACATCACACTAGCAACGAAGATCCGCATAGTTAAAGCAATGGTATTCCCCATAGTAACCTATGGATGTGAGAGCTGGACCATAAGGAAGGCTGAGCGAAGGAAGATAGACGCTTTTGAACTGTGGTGTTGGAGGAAAGTTCTGAGAGTGCCAAACCAGTCCAATCTCCAGGAAATAAAGCCCGATTGCTCATTGGAGGGAAGGATATTGGAGCCAAAGATGAAGTATTTTGGTCACATAATGAGAAGACAGGAAAGCTTAGAGAAGATAATAATGCTGGGGGGAAAGGAAGAGGGGCTGACCAAGGGCAAGATGGATGGATGTTATCCTTGAAGTGACTGGCTTGACTCTGAAGGAGCTGGAAGTGGTGACGGCTGACAGGAAGCTCTGGCGTGAGCTGGTCCATGAGGTCATGAAGAGTCAGAAGCGACTGAACAAATAAATAACAACAAAATGATGCATTTGACCTTCCAAAAGCTGTTAAAGGGGTCATTATTTGGATTCTGCCATGGATTTCTTACTTGAAATCTTGAGTTTTCTTTTGGAGTACAGAGTGACAGCATTCTTCCTAGTAAAGACTTCTGAGCTCGTCTTCATATTTATGGGGCAAAGTGTTAGGGAGAGACAGAAGAAGCTAGACCTACATCAGAGGAAATTCTGAGTGAACATTCCAACCAATACATCAAGACCCCTCTATTTGGCAATATTTAGGCCTGTACAGGTTTTTAATTCATTCAGCAATGCAGATCACTAATGTATATCAATACACAACAGTTTGCCCTACCATTTGGTCTGGCCTCTCAGGATCTTCCAGTGATTTTAGCTATATAAACATCCATTGCTTTTTGCTGCAATTTGTGGCTGGCATCCTGGAAGATATTGTTTGATGTCACTTCTTAGATCACTTATTTGCTTTTCCAAATCACACAAAATCTTGGTTGAACTTGGTTTATTAGTATAAGTGCCTACTAAAAGGGATCTTACTATTTTATTTGGTGATAGCAGCTCCCTCTGCAGCATTGCTATGGTCAGGAAGAAAATACCATGTGTGAGAGAAGGGAGAATCTCTTATTTGCCTGCTATGCCTGTTACTCTTTAAGCCTTGGCCTCTGGTGTGTAGGATTCGCTTGGTGGTGAACTAGTTTTAAAGATAAAATTCGGTGCCCTATTCAGGGTTTTGTTGGGATGATGCAGCAATTTTAATCTTGAGAGCTGTTTCTCTTATTTGGGTCAAAGCCACAGCAGGAAAGAACTGGCAGCTTTGCTCTACCTAGAACATTTTACTGCTCCACTTCAATGGATGGAGAGTTCTTCTGCTTTCCTCCCTCAGCTGTTGTACTTGCTGAATAACTCTTGCTCTACTTTTTTCTTCCTACCTTCAGAAACAAGTCAAACCCTAAGGAAATTCTCTCATTGGCTGGACATGGCTGTTGTCTAACTGGGCTGACTGGGGGGAAAGGATGCAACTGAATTCAGACAGCTAACTAGTAGTAACAACAGGAAATGCTTTCTTGCTAAACTTGTATGATCATCCTCTTGCTTACAAACATGAGTCAAGACATGTATAATTACCCAAAAATATCCATCCAGACTGTAACTAATGTACTTTAGTCTTTAACATATCAGGGAAGAGATCTTGCCTGTTGGGATCAAGCTGTTTAGTCCTTAAGGACAGTCTCATTTTCTGTGCAGTCACCCTAACTTCACCTCTGAGGAAGGCCTTCCTAAATGCCTTCTGTATTTTTGTAGGGTCTGTGCAACATCATTTATTTCCCCTATTTTTGAGTGCCTCAGTCCCTGAAATGTTTGTACCTTCCTGTAAAAGTTAACATTTCATCTAAGAGAGAATATTCTACTAAAGAATGCATGTGGGGATATTTACAAATTTAAAAAATATGGACAAAAAGATCAGGGTAAGAAGAAAATCTCCGTGTTTTGAAGGAAAGTATATAATTTCAATCATTCACAAAAAAGCTGTTGCTACAGCACATACATCTCTTAAAACAGTAGTTTTCAACCTTCATAAGGACACAACCCCTTAATACATTTCCTGATGTTGTGGTGATCCCCAACCATAAAATTATTTTCGTTGCTTCATCACAGCTGTAATTTTGCTACTGTTGTGAATCGTAATGTCAATATCTGATAGGATGTATTTTCATTCACTGGACCAAATTTGACACAAATACCCAACACACCCAAATTTGAATATTGGTGGGCTGAGCTGGGGGGTGGGGTGGGGGTTGGGGGATTGATTTTGTCATTTGGGAGTTGTAGTTGCTGAGATTTATAGTTCACCTACAATCAAAGAGCATTCTGAACTCCACGAACGATGGAATTGAACCAAACTTGGCACACAGAATTCCCATGACCAACAGAAAATACTGGAAGGGTTTGGTTTGCTTTGACCTTGAGTTTAAAGAGTTGTAGTTCATCTACTTCCAGTGATGGATCTGGACCAAACTTGGCATGAATACTCAATATGCCCAAATGTGAACAGTAGAGCAGTTTGGGGAAAATAGACCTTGACATTTGGGAGTTGTAGCTGCTGGGATTTATAGTTCACCTACAGTCAAAGAGCATTCTAAACCCCATCAATGATAGAATTGGGCCAAACTTCCCACACAGAATTTCCATGACCAATAGAAAATACAGTGTTTTCTGATGGTCTGTGGCAACCCCTCTGACACCCCCTCACAACCCCCCAGAGGTCCTGAGCCCAGGTTGAGAAACGCTACCATAAAACTTAAAGCAAGAACATGGGTATGATTATGTTTGAGAAGTAATTAATACCATCTATCCTGTTCTAAGGTAGCTTCTGTCCATCAACTCCAAAAATCCTAAGAGAGATACCATACACAGATACAGGAATGCACGCACACTTGATCCTCCCACGCTGGTATGACATACCTTTGCAGGTGTCAAATACCATAGCCACACTGCAAAATTGTTTAACACCACAATAACTGCCATGGCTCAATGCTACGATATTCTAGAACAGGGGTCTTCAATCTAAGGCCCAGGGGCCACATGCGGCCCTCCAAGAGGGTCATTTACCCGACCCTCGCTCAGGGTCAACTTAAGTCTGAAACGACTTGAAAGCACATAACAACAATTCTATCTCATCAGCCAAGAGCAGACCCACACTTCCCATTGAAATACTAATAAGTTTATATTTGTTAAAATTGTTCTTAATTTTAATTATTGTATTGTTTTTAAGTGTCTTTTGCACTACAAATAAGGTATGTTTAATGTGCATAGGAATTAATTCATGTTTTTTTTAAATGTTTAATCCGGCCCTCCAACAGTTTGGGGGACTGTAACTTGGCCCTCTGTTTAAAAAGTTTGAGGACTCCTGTTCTAGAATTTGTAATTTTTGTGAGTAGTATACTTTTGTCTACCAAAAAGCTGTGGTGCCGCAACAAGCCACAAATCCCAG